TCGTAAAGGCTGGAAAGTTTAGTTCGCGTGAAATGATTGTCACTTAAAATCATTTCGGCAAAAGAGTGGCAAACGCCGTGAATTGCAAATGTACAAAGTTTTCGTATTACTATCGGACCATAGAAACATGTACATATTAACACACCGTACTTATTCTCTATTACCCGCGAACTTTCATCACATTATGATGATACTGTGGCATAAAATCGGCGCCCTGTAATAAAAGGCGGTTATTTGTGGGAAGTCTTAGAAGATCGTTTGTTTACCAAGTTTGTTTACAATGTTCGCTTGAGGATCGCTGGGACGCCGTCGCTCGCCTCTCACGGAATGGTCACAAAAACACTTCGGAATTATGATTATGGTCGCATTATCACCAAGTAAACGAGGTATGAGTTATAGATCTATCGTTTTAGCTCGTGCTTGGGGAGAGAAGAGGTTAATGAGGGTAGATAAGTGGACTGAATTTCTTTTGCCTCTGCTGTGGCCGGCTCGAAGGCCTACGCAACTCTCACTTTTTTCTAAGCCCGGTGAAATTATTTTTGAATGGATGTTCGTGTTAGTTGGGTTTACTTAGAATAGTCAGAGCAGAAGGTGCGACGTGTTGTATAGTTTGTGTATATTTGGAAACCTTTTTTAACTTGTTTATCTGTATGTATCTGGAGTGAATATGCATCCCTCTCTCCCTCTTTCTCTCCCTTCCTCTTTCTCTCCCTCTCTCTTTCTCTCCCTCTCTCTTTCTCCCTTCCTCTTTCTCTTCCTTACTCTTTCTCTCCCTTCCTTTCTCCCTTCCTCTCTCTTCTTCTCCCTCTACTCTCCCCTCTCCTCTCTCTCTCTCTCTCCTCTCTCTCTCTCTCTCTCTCTCTCTCTCTCTCTCTCTCATTCTCCCCTTCTCTCTTCTCTCTTCCTCCTCCTTCTCCTCCCTCTCCCCATCCCCCTCTCCCCTCCCTCCTCCCCCCTCCCTCTTCTACTCTCCCCCCTCTCCTCTCTCTTCTCTCTCTGTATATATACAATGTTGTCAGGTATGGCTGAAATAGATATATGTGTGCATATACATATATATTTTTTTATCTATAGTACAAATGAATACATAGTAAAGTAAGAGTAAAAAAAAAAGGAAAATAGATAGGTGAAAGAGCAAGGAAGAGTTTTGAATCGTCCTTCGAGTCTAAAACATTTCATCATCCCTGTGCAGCTAATTATGTCATGTGAACAAGTGGAGCTATGTAAAAGTTACGATGGACAAGGTTTTGATTTGTTTGATTTAGTTTGTGTCGTTCTATTTACCCCTTATGGAATTTTACTTTGATTTTTTGACGCTTTATAGTTTCTCCCAAGTTGAAAATAGCAGTCAGAGAGTATTTTATATTAAACAAAACTTTGATCTTTTTATTTATATTAGTATGCATGGAACAAAGTGTGCATACATTCAGAAGGAGAAACTTCAGTTTAGGAAAAAAAAATTATTTGACTGTGAAGACGTCTTTATATATGTGAGGATATATATGGGACACGCTTGCTATCCCCCAGATCCACTCACTCGCTCCCTCACTCACTCACTCACTCACTCACTCACTCACTCACTCACTCACTCACTCACTCACTCACTCACTCACTCACTCACTCACTCACTCACTCTCACTCACTCACTCACTCACTCACTCACTCACTCACTCACTCACTCACTCACTCACTCACTCACTCACTCACTCACTCACTTTCTTCACATACACACATACCTCATATTAGTCACAAAAAGGGTGTATTCTACTTGAATGAATTGATATCTTGATGACATTCAGAAGTTACAGTGTATGCTAAAATCATGTTATACAGACCTTGTGCATGTCAAGAATAGAAAAAGAAACTCGACTGACAGAAAAAAATAAATGCCACGAACTGGACCTGGCAGTGACTGGCCAGTTTTCTTGATATATTGGACATGCAAACTTGGCAGTGTTCATGTATAGAGCTTATATAGTAAGAGGGTAAAATTTTATTAGTTAAATGAAATAGACATTGAAGAGTAAGATTTGATCTTTGCAAAGATATGTCCATGTTACTGTCGTGGGTTGGGGTTCTTGTGGGTAGTCTCTAGAGGCCTACACTGTTTTACTGTATGAGGTTGAATTTTGTTATACTATTATTAGTATTAGTATTATTATAATGAGTATTATTATCATTATTGTTATTATTGTTGTTATTATTATTATTATTCTACCATGTTTATCATTATTGCTATTATTATTTTGCTTTTATTACTGTTATTATTATTATAATTATTATTGTTGTTATCATCATCATCTTCATTTTCATTATCATTATTATTAATTTGTTTGTTAATATTATTATAATATTAGTATTATTGATATTGATATATACCTTGCTGAATTATTTATGTTATGACAGGTATTTATCCAAATTAGTGTTAGAAAATCTAACTGTAACATGACCATGAAAGGGGAAATACACTCACCAATTCTCTCTCTCTCACCAGGATGGACAACAGCAGAGAAGGCGAGCGAGGGGACAAAGCCCGGGGTGGGTTGCCACCCGGGATGGACCCGGCAACAGCTGCACTATATGGTGAGTTCAATGTGAAAATACTGCAGCACACAGCCTCCCTCCTTCCCCCCTACAACTGTGTGTTGTTTTCCGTTAAGATTTGGCATTCAATGTAATGTTATTATGGTGGGGAACGGAAATTGTTAGTTTTCTTGTTGTTGTTATTATTGGTAGCAGTACTTTTTTTCATTGTTGTTTTATCTGTTTGCAGTCTATTACTTTTTTTATTAGTGTTGTCATCATCATTATCATCATTATTATTATAATGATTATAAATGTTATGGTATTGTAATTGTTATTATTTTATTTTTGTGATAACTGCTAAGTATTATAAGCATAACTACTTTTACATATATATTTATTATGATTATCATTATTATTATTGTTGTTTTATTATTGTTATCATAATCATCATCATTAGTATATTTTGTTATTATTTTTACTGTCATTATTGTCAGATGATGATATTTTTGCATTTGTTATTATTATTATTCATATTGTTTTTTTAATTACTATTTTTTGTTTATTGTTTTATTTGATATAATTTCTGTTATTGTTATATTAATGTCATTGTCATGTAGATGATGTGTAGTGATAACTGTAGTGTAATAGCAAATAATGATTTGAATAATTTTGATAATGTGGAAGATCTTTTTGATTCATTTTTATGTTTGATATTATTAGGTATTTTTATGATAACAAGGAGAGACAAGAAGTTTGTATCGAGTTATTATCATTGTTGCTATGACTATTCAGTTGTTGATTGAGGCTTCTTATTGTGTTCTTATTAACACATGGTTTACTTTTGTTGTTGTGAAGAATATGGGTGGTTGTGTTATTGTTTCACAGTCTGTTTTAATGTTATTGTCATGAGAGTCTGTATTAACTGTTGTTGTATATTTTTCTTAAACAGTTAATTGTTAGTTTTATCATTAGCATCATCCTCATTATCATTATTATTATTATGATAGTTGTTATCGTAATTGTTATCATTATTATTGTTGTTATTATTGATATTATCATTATTATTGTTAGTAGTAGTACTAGTATGTAATATTGTTGCTATTATCATGACATAATTATCATCATTAAACTATTATCAATATTATCAATATTATTATTTTTGTTATTATGTCTTATCATTTTTTAAATTCTTGTTTTTTGTTGTTGTTATTATTATTATCATTATTATTATTATTATTGTTATTGTTATTGTTATTATTATTTTATTATTATTATTATTATAATTATTGCTATTGCTATTGTTATTGCTATTATCATTATTATTAATATTATTGTTTTTATAGTTTAGATCCATGATTATGATTATGATTATATTTGTTCTTGTTATTGTTGATATTATTTTTATTTTTATTATTATTATTATTGTAATGATAATAGTAATGATAATGATAGTGATAGTGATACTTATAATAATAATAGTATTACAATTAAATTATTGGTATTATTATTATTATTATAATTATTATTATTATTGTTGTTGTTGTTGTTCTCATTATTATTATTATTATTATTATTATTATTATTATTATTATTATTATTATTATTATTATTATTATTATTATTATTATTATTATTATTATCATTGTTATTATTATTATTATTATTATTATTATTATTATTATTATTATTATTATTATTATTATTAATGTTATTTTTTTAAATTATTATTCTAATTTATTATATATTTTTTATATATATTTTTATTTATCTTTATTTTTCATTGTTATTCACATTGCCATTAGTATTATTACTATTATTAATATTTATTTTATTATCAGCTTTGTTATTCTTAGTAATTATTATTCCCTGCTGCTGCTATAGACCACCAAGATGATAATCTTTTGCTGTCATACCCTTTGATGTGTAAAAGTTTATATGATAACTAGCATTAACAATCATCAGTTGGCAGTATTTTTGTGTTCATGTCAAAGCTGTCCTTTGACATACCAGGAAATATAGTTCCTTTACAGTCAGGATAATTTTTGGGTGTATTGAAAATGGGTTCATTTGCATGCAGAGCAGTTGCTATTTGGGTTGGTCTCACTTCTGCCAGTTAAACCTATGATACGTAATATAAGATGCCTTTTGATGAACGGTATGCTATAAAGAGAGAAATTGAAAAACGTAACCAGGAACTCTGTGTCATGGTAGAAATATACTGATAATTGTTCACTGAGTTGTGCTTTATGTGGCATGCATAATGTGGACTGGATACCTTACAATTGTTTGTTGAGTTTGATATCTTGTTGAAGGATTCTATTTCGTGTTACTATCTTCCATACATATTAAAGTACTGATGACTACAGAAGAAAATCTAAATACTCTTTTAAGATGGTATTTGGGTAGAGATGTTTGTTTAAGCCAGTTATGAACAGATCTTATTGCGACAGATGTAGAAATCAGGTAAGAATGAGAATGAACATCTTGACTGTGCCGGAGATGTATTTGATTGGTTTTGGTTATATTCATTGTCATTCATGTCTGTTTCTACTTCAAGCCAGTTGAGAACATAGACAAGATCTTGTAGGACGGAGTTTATGTTAATATTTTATTTATAGAGGTCTGTAGAAAAGATTATGCGATTACTGAAATTTGAGCAAAAGTTTGATAATATTATGATGTTCGTACATTTTTTTAATAGCTGTTTGTCTCCAGACTTTAGGTATGCTAAGTGAATTTTTATGGATATTTTTTTGTCTTTGTAAGTATCAATTGTCTTTGTTGACCTTGTTGATGAACTTGCTGATATTTCTCTTGTAGTCCTTAGGCATTTTCTTTATATTTTACAAGTTCTCAGTTAGGTGTATCTCCTGTTTTTTTCTTTTTGTGTATCAGAATCTTGGTTATAGGAGAGGATCTTAGAAAAACAGATCTTAATTTACAAGAAAAACTTACCTTTAGAAGTCTTATTATAATAAGAGAAAGTCATTGCAGTCTAGCAGTGATTAAGGGGTTTCTGATTTTTTTCTGTGACTTTTCTGATAGGTGGGAATGCTTTTGCCATTCTACAGTAATTTGTCTTTCAGTATATTTCAACTAAGGGCTTTTTTTATCACTTTTTGAATTATTTTAGAGGTTAAGCTTTGTGGTTTGATATTTTTTTGGTAGACTCTCAGCTTCATAAGAACTATGTAAGGATGTGGAAGATCATGGACTGTTTGAAGAAAAAGGAACCTCATGGAGCCAAGAGCAAGTAGTTGTATGAGGTGCTGTTATGGAAAAGACGTTAAGATGTCTTTGAAAAACTTCATTTAGTTTCGGGAGTATGAAGATAGGCCCATGGTATACACACAGGAAACTGTACTGGGGAATAGGGAGTTTGTACACACATAAAGTGAAAGGATATTCAAGCCCCCTGTTTCTCTTCTCCTCCATAGCCCCGTGGGTGCACCAAGAGCAGGCTTTACTGTGTAAGTTGCGTCTTCTGATTCTGCGGTGTATCTTGTCCCTCTGCTGCCTGTTGCTTGATTTGCTTTCAACCAGAGACACTTAAGAGGCTTTTGTTCATGTTTTATCATTATTGTTATTATTATTTTTTTGTTACTACATCTCCCACTCATGGAGAGCAGAGCTTTTGTTAAGTCATTTGTGTTGGAGTTGTCTTGGCCTACTGCACAATTTTGACGGCTTTAGTATATTCAAAAAGTGACTTAATGTGACTGTGGTGATTTTTATTTTTATTGTCATCATCATTATTATTGTTATTATTATTACTATTAATATTATTATCATTATTATTATCATCACTGAATGAACAATGTCTTGGTTGTCTAATTTCATACATCTATAAAGGCTAACGTAACTTTTAAATTGGATGCTGTGAATAGAAGTAGTACCACGTGAGCTTTTAAAGGTTTTCATATGACCGAACAGCTAGTCTGAGCCCCAAATAAAGACCGAATGAGTGCATGTGGTGCCTGCCCTTGTGTGTTTGGAATTCACAACGAGTCACACTTTTTTTTATTCTACGCACATGCCAAGTCAAACAGATAAGTATAGTTCACTTTTAAGCTGAAACATGTGCATGTGGGTTGTGTTGTGTATCTCAAAAGGTTTTAAGTTGCACGTGCATTCTACAAAGCAGAGTGTAATGACCAGTTGGCACACGATTTATCATGCACAAGGAATGTAGCAAGAAGAATGTACGTTTCATTAGGATTTAGCCTCATTCTAGTTGTGTTTTAAATGTCTCTTTGTTGTCTTCAAAGATTGTTTTATGGGATTTTTTTGCATATGGTAATTGCTGATGAATGTGTGTGTGTGTGTGTGTGTGTGTGTGTGTGTGTGTGTGTGTGTGTGTGTGTGTGTGTGTTTGTTTATGTATAATTGCATGTGTGCAAAAAGCAGTTGCAATGAAAATTTAAGAGTGATCAAGATATTGAAACAGTCACACTTACTAGTACTTTAATAACATTTATGATATTTTAAATCAGTGATGCTATCACAGTTATGGGTAGGTCTCAATGAACTAGGGTATGTTGGTTAGAAACATTACCCATTTAATCTTAGTTATTTCTGAGTAAGTTGGCTATCTTTCAATTAGACTATTATGGAAGTTACATAAAAAAATATATGAATCACTTCTTGTATGTATTGCATTCCCCCCCCCCCCCCCCCTCTCTCTCTCTCTCTCTCTCTCTCTCTCTCTCTCTCTCTCTCTCTCTCTCTCTCTCTCTCTCTCTCTCTCTCTCTCTCTCTCTCTCTCTCTCTCTCTCTCCTCCCTCCCTCCCTCCCTCCCTCCCTCCCTCCCTCCCCTCCCTCCCTCCCTCCTCCCCTCCTCCCCTCCCCTCCCCTCCTCCCTCCCTCCCCTCCCTCCCCTCCCCCCACCCCTCCTCCCCCTCCATGGTCTATCTCCTATCTTTATATTCAGCCATTCCTTCTCTGCTATTTACCCTATCACTTCCTCTTTCTCCCTTCCTTTGTTGGTATTCCAAGCATAACTCTTTTCAGAAGGGAAACCTGGAAGTCCATAAAAGAAACAGAATGAAAGAACTGTTATTCCTCGTTATAGGATGCCTTTCATTTAATCTTGTCAAACATTTATTTCAAACTGAACCACTCACATTATCCCCTCAGTCCAGAGTACGTGCATCTATTCATTTGAGAGATGTGTGATTATGCATAGGGTGTTTTACAAGTTTCTGGGACGGATGGTGTTTAGGTTTAGTGTTCAGTCAGCGAGGTTTTTATCACTAGCTGTCGCTTTAATCCACTTACGAGAATTTTACCCTGTCAACAAAACTGGAATCTCGAGAAGGGCAGAGTTTTGTTTAGTGAGAATCTGCAACATTCCTCAAGTACATTTTGTTGGTTCTATGTATCTTAAACTTTGTACTTTTTTTTTTTTTTTTCAGTTTAGGGTAGTGAAAAATCAAGTAATTTGTTTTTGTGTTTTTTTATTTTATCTAATGATAATGGTATTGATGATTATGTTCTTGGTGTTTTGGGAAGAGTCTAAAGAATTCTCTCTTTCTTATTCTTTTTTTTCTGCTTCCCTCATTTCTTGTCCCCTCCCTCTCCTATCCCTCCCCTTCTCTTCCTCCCTCTCTCCTCTTCTTCCCCCTCCCTCCCTCTCTCTCTCTCTCTCTCTCTCTTCTCTCTCTCTCTCTCTTCTCTCTCTCTCTCTCCTCTCTCTCTCTCTCTCTCTCTCTCTCTCTCTCTCTCTCTCTCTCTCCTCTCACCTCTCTCCCTTTCCTCCTTCCTCCCTCCCTCTCTCCCTCCCCTCCTTCCCTCCTCCTCTCATTCCTCCCTCCCTCTCTCCCTCCCCTCCTTCTCTCCCTCTCTCCCTCCCCTCCTTCCCTCCCTCCTCTCCTTCCCTCCCTCCTTTCCTTCCCTCCCTCCTCCTCTATTACCCCCTCTCTATCTCCCTCTCTCCTTTCCTTCCCCCTGTCTCCCTCCCTCTCTCCTTTCCTTCCCCCACCCCCCGTTTCCCACTTTCTTTCTCCCTCATTCCTCTCCTCACTCTAAAGAAGTGGAAGATGATTACCTATTGCTGGTGCACATTGGAAACTCCATTGTGCACATTGAGCAATACATCAGGCAGTGATATTGACTATTGTACCACTTAAAAAGCCAATATGTACCATGTCTAAAATTTGATGTTAGTTTTAATATGGCTTGTTCAACAGGTGTGTTGCGGTGTTGCATGTGAAATAAAGGTGCATGAGAGGTTTTCATGTAAATATTGTTGATGAACTTTTTTTTTTTTTTTTAATTATTCACCTTACAATAAGCTACTTGTGTTGTGCTTGGCAAACTCATTTTGCTATTGATGAGATGTCTCGGGCTTTGTCAAGTTGAATGAATTACGTGGTGTCTTTGTGGTGTCTTATTATGTATTTTTTGTTTCTCTGGTATAAAGATCAGGTCATGAACCTAACAAGGTAATAAAAGAATTAAAGATATGTATATATGTATATGTATTTATATATATTTATATACACACACATATGCTCGCACATGTATGCACGCATGCACACGCACGCGCACACACGTACACACACACACATGCACACATACACATGCACACACACACACATATATAAACACATGCACACATGCATGCACACACCCAAGCACACACACTTTGTGTGTGTGTGTGTGTGTATGTGTGTGTGTGTGTTTCTGTTTCTTTTTTTCTCTTTTTTTCACGCACATCAGTGTGACTCATCCTGCAATTGTCTTTCTCCTCCCCAGCCAACATGTTTGGAGCAGGTAGCCTAGGACCCTATGGGGCAGCAGCGGCAGCGGGCATCCCGGGTTGGGGTGGGCTGCCGCCTGGCTTCCCACCCTCCAGTTCCGCAGCCGGCTTGGCGAGCTTGGCAGCAGCACAGCAAGCACAACAGGCTGCAGCACTAGCTAGTCTTGGACCAGCTGCAGGTAAAGATGATGAAAGACACTGTCAGGCTCTTTTGCCCTGCGAGTGTTCATGAAAGATTTGGGGTCAAGCAGGGGGAAACACTGGAAAGGGAGAACTCTGGCAGCGGTGTGTCCATCAAGAGGCTTCTTTGATATATTTTTTTCTTTATTGAATCTAATTACATCTTCACATTTTTGTTGATCTTGTTTTTATTTCTTTTTCTCTCTCTCTCTCTCTCTTTTTTTTTTTATAGGATTATACACTAAGACAGATTGACATAGGAGGTTTTGATACATGTGCAAACAGTGTAAGAAAGTTAACCAAAATTTCACTTGTTTCACCTCGTGTAAATCTAAGGGCACTCGAACAATCAAATTCCAGTAAATTTAACAATTTGATTAATAAGATGCTGCCTCAGTTAGCTGCTCCTGGTATGTCAGCTTCATGTTTTTAAAAGGTTCAAAAAGATCCATTTGTAAACATAGAACAAATCTGTTCCTGAAGAGAGCTTGTAAAAATAAATCCAAATTCCTTTTTCCCCCCTCATCTATATAATAAGTTGCACGATTGATCATGTTTTTAAAAATCCTTTTCTCCCATCCTTTTAGCTGCCTACCAGGATCGAGCAATGGGAGGTGAGATTTTCGAAGTTTGTGCATTAAGGGTTTCTGAGCAATTGATTGATACTGGGTCTATGGAAGCTTTTCCTCCTTCAGATAATAATTTTCCCTGACTGAACGATGGGGTGTATTTTCTTGGTATTTGGTGTATATATATGTATTCACATATTGCCCTTGGTATATATGTAAGTTACATATATTAGTTTAAGTACAGTTCACTTTATTCTATGATCCTGAGGAACTCTTTCGTTAAGATATTGAGTTCATTTAGTCCTTTTTAGTAATCTTTGCCAGACTTGTCATTTCAGTTTTCTGTGTTCTCCATAATTGATAAATTGTTTTCAATGGAAAGTAGCAGTAAGCTATGCAACGGAAAATATGATTGATGGAAGTATTTTTCTCTTGATGTGAAAAAGTGAGTGAACTAGTATGTGGGCGAGGAGCGAGTAAGCATGATTGAGTATGAGTGTAAAAGCATATCTGCATCACTGTATCCCTTTCCATCAATAACACCTGTAATTAAAGTACATAAGGACAAATAGATAACTAGATTAAGACATTGATTTGATATTCATGTTGTTTTTGGATAGATTTAATATATATGTAAAGACAAAAGAGTGTGTGTGTGTATGTGTATGTGTGTGTGTGTGTGTGTGTGTGTGTGTGTGTGTGTGTGTGTGTGTGTGTGTGTGTGTGTGTGTGTGTGTGTGTGTGTGTGTGTGTGCGTGTGTACATGTATGTGTACACATACTTATAAGTATATTCATCTCTTGTTCATGTTGTCTCTCTGCCACTGTATAATCTAGTCAGGATTCGCTGTGAATCCATTACAGCTATTTATATGTCTGATGAGGAAGCGTTGATGAGTTCTAAATGTCTCAATATGATATATTCTTATTGTGGCTGTTTTCCCATTCATCTGTGACTTTTTGATATATATATAGTATGTAAGTATGTATATTTGTATGTCTACTTATGCAAATGTATGTTTATATACATGTATACTATACATATGTATATATATATTTATATATATGAGTGTGTGTGTGTGTGTGTGTGTGTGTGTGTGTGTGTGTGTGTGTGTGTGTGTGTGTGTGTGTGTGTGTGTGTGTTTGTATGTATGTATACCATATTGGTAAATGCATTCTACTGTATGAGGGCATTACAGAAAAATGGATATTTTTATAAAAGTTGTTACTGTGTGAGCCTCTTGGTGTAAACCGTGTAAGAAATGAGCAGGAAGGAGCTGAAGGCTATCACACTTGTGCCTGTATAAACGGAGAAGTGCAGCAGGTTTAGTGGAAGAACGACTGACTGCTTGTCTTTCCGATTTTTGGTTGTTTTATGAGAGAAATCATTAGATTTTGTTTATCTAATGAAACCAAAATTTCTAATTGTGATATTGAAAATGTTTAAATTGTGCATTTCTTTCATTCTCACGTGTTTAGTGTTATTTTTTTTGCTTTGTTTTGTTTTTCATAAATCAGATTCAGATTCATAAGTATTAGAAACATTTGAATAAGAATTGAGATTTTTTGGAAACTTAATTAGTGCACGTAGAAATTATCCATTCCTAACAAACCAAAAGTTCACCGGGCAATGATATCATTTTAAGATCAACATTACCGGTACAACCAAAGCAGCTACAGAGCCGGGATGAATCCGCGTTCACACGAGGCGCACTTCTCCGATTCTACAGGTATGTTAGATGCGGTACGGAGTGTACAGGTATGTCACGTTGTAAGTGCGGTACTCCCATTGTGGTCGTATAAGCATGTGTGGTAGGAGTGATATGTAGCAGGTCTTGTGGTTGTGGAATTGTAGTTGTGGTGTGGATGGAGTTTTACTACGTATGTTGGGTATTTATTATTTTTTAAATTTTGTGTTATTGTTTTTACTCTGGGAAGTGGACATGGGAATCATGTGGTGCTGTTCCCGATTCATTCATATTTAGTGACGGTGATAGGTTAAAACTCTCCAAGATTAGAGTAGATAGTAGTCAACTAGCTTCAATGTATACTTTTGTTAATTTTGTATTTTTTCTCATTATTACTACAATACTTACAGTTAACAGATTGAGATGCCAACAAATGAGTACCAAAAGGAACACTAAATGAGACAGTTTTCTCCCTCAAACCCAGCTTGGTGGAATCTGGCTGGCTTGCAGCAAATGGAACTCCTGTCCCGCTTGCAAGGGGGCCTCGGGGGGAGTGGAGGGGCGGGGGCCGCTGCCGCCGCTGCTGCAGGTCTTGGAGGTTTTGGGGGCCTTCACCCGGAACACTTGATGAACCTGGAAATCCTTCAAGCACAACATGGTCAGTGCCACATTAAATTCCTCCATGTAATTGATTTATTACATGTCAGACTGTTTTTGGAAGAATATCCATGAGCTTAGGAAGTGTATTGCAAAATCTCTCTTGCCTTTTATATATCCA